TCCTGTCTTGTATAAGAGTCCTTTACTGGCATAGCTTGACCTTATTAACCCCTCAACTATGATCTAACCCAAATGTCCATATTGATGGTATGTTTTCTATCCCTAAATGCAAAGGTACATTAATTATGGATGTTTTTAAGTTTATGTTATATGTTAACATCAATTATAAGGAGGAGGTAATGTAAATAAAATTATATCCTACTATGTCTGGTACATAGTAAAGGACCCCAAAAGATAGTTCTTTTTTTTTTTTTTTTTTGCTTTTTGGGTCACACCCAGCGATGCACAGGGGTTACTCCTGGCTCTGCGCTCAGGAATTACCCCTGGTGGTGCTCAGGGGACCATATGGGATGCTGGGAATCGAACCTGGGTTGGCCACGTGTAAGGCAAACACCCTACCCGCTGTGCTATTGCTCCAGCCCTAAGATAGTTCTTTTAATTGGGGAAGGAGCTGATTGGAAGGTTAATGCAGACACATAAAAACAAAAAAGTAAATTTGTTATTTTCCTGTAAGAGCTTTTTCTATCGATAGTTGAGATAAAAAATCAAGTATGGAATGATTCATCAGCATACAACACAGCTAGAAAGATTCACTCTTACCCTCCTTCCTGTCACATTATTGTTGTTGAAATGACCTGTGATGACCTCAGCTCTTCCTTCAATCACTGCCCTGGGCATAGGGCAAAGAAATCCCTTGTTTCCTCTTCTCTTGTAACCAGAGTCATTCTCTGAGTTTATGACAATGGTCTCAGTGGGCCAGCTGTGGTATTTGCTGCTATTAGGTCTTACCTGGATTTCCAGTGGAGTCCTGGAAGGACTTCAGCTTTCCATGCTACTCCTGTTCTTCCTTGGAACTACAGGGAATATTTTTGGCTGCAGATGCTTAACACTGAAGATGTGAGGCATAGTGGTGGCTTGGGAAGAGAGAAACTTTCTCCTTCCATACTGTGTACTGAGATACTGGAGAGATAATACAGAAGAAAAAGCACTTTACTTGTGGCTGACCCCACCTAGTATTGATCCCCAAGACTACATGTGGTCCCTCAAGCCCTTCAAGAAGCCATCCCCAAGCACGTAACCAGGAGTATACCCTGAGGACCACCATGAGTGGCCCCAAAATTAAATATATTAAAGATAAATTCACCCTCTCTATTAAAATCACTGGCACATTTGTCCACACAAAGCTTCTTACCTTGGTCATGTATGTAGGTCCTTCTCTTTTCCATGAAGGATTAACCTAGCACTGTACTATAGCACTGTCCTCCCATTGTTCATCGATTTGCTCCAGCAGGCACCAGTAATGTCTCCATTGTGAGAGTTGTTACCGTTTTTGGCATGTCGAATATGCAATGGGGAGTTTGCCAGGCTCTGACGTGTGGGCAGGATACTCTCAGTAGCTTACTGGGCTCTCTTCGAGAGGGACAGAAGAATCGAACCTGGGTAGGCCACATGCAAAGCAAACACCCTACCAGCTGTGCTATTGCTCCAGCCCATCTAGAGACCCTAATTTGTTCTCAAAGTCCTGGCACTTTCTGTTTGGATTACAAACCACATAGTTCTGATGATCTTTGCTCTTTGCAGGTCTGCAATTCTAATCCGATAGCAACAGGAGCTTTGTTTGTTTGCTTACTTGCTTGCTTTGCTGCCTCAACTGTCTGTGCTCAGGGTTTACTCCTAGCTCTGAGCTCAGAGATCACTCCTAGCAATGCTTATGGGATCGTATGTGGTGCCAGGGATCAATCCCAGATCAGCTATGTGCAAGGCAAACACCTGGCCCTCTGCACTATTGCTCTGACCCCAGCAGAAGGAGCTTTAAAGTCTCTTTCCCTATAGTGCCAACACCAGGGCTTTCAGCCAACCGCTGTCAGAAATGCAGGTTTGGGGCTTGATGAGAAGTTCTCTGCTGATAAACGTGTATTCTCCTTGTACACGGATTATTTCTGTAATGTTTTAAGGGGATCTTTTTCTGACATAGTCTAATCCTATTCCACATCAAACATGAATACTCTTCTCTCAACAATCAGCATTCCACAAGTGACAAAATGAAAGGGGCCTATTAAGCTCCTTTTGGTAAGAAGATCTTCTCCCTGCACAAAATAAAGATGGACCCTCTGTTGTACAACAATGCAGATGTTACGACATTTCCTGTGCATTCATTAAAGATGCTCCCAGAAACAAAAACTTGGGGTTTTATTATCTAGCAATATGCATGTAAAAAATAATATTTCCCGTGTCTTTATTTTAATATCAGTAAATTTCAAGCTTATTAGGAACTCTTTAGAGTTATGAAAGTAAAGATCGTTCATAACGGCTAGATCGTAGTAGTAGTAGTGTCAACTGTTAGCAACATCAGTTTGTCCAAATAAGTCTCTACAATGGAAGCGACCTGAGACAGTCCATAGAAATGTGACCTGATAGTGTTTTGGGGGAGAGGGATTTGTCTTTTTTTTTTTAATTTTTTTTTATTAGTGAAACACCATGAGGTACAGCTGTAGATTTACAATTTTTTGTGCTTGGGTTTGATTATACAATGATCAGATACCCATCCCTCCACCAGTGCCCATTTTCCACCACCATGGATAATATCCCCCCCACCCCCACCCCCCCATCCCCCCCTGCCTCCGTGGCAGGGCAATCCCCTGTGTTCTCTCTCTCCTTTTGGGTGTTGTGGTCTGCAAAAGAGGCATTGAGTGGCAATCATGTTGAGTCCATAGTCTACTTTCAACATGCATCTCCCCTCCTGGGAGGATCCTGCAAACACCATTTATTTGGTGCTCCCTTCTCTATCTGAGCTGTGCCTTCTGCAGTTTTTTTTTTGTTTGTTTGTTTTTTTGCTTTTTGGGTCACACCTGGTGATGCACAGGTGATACTCCTGGCTCTGCATTCAGGACGTACTCCTGGTGGTGCTCAGGGAATCATATGGGATGTTGGGAATAGAACCCGGGTCGGCCACATGCAAGACAAACGTGCTACCCGCTGTGCTATCTCTCCAGCCCTGTGGCAAGCTTTCTACCATGTACCAATCCTCCTGACCCTTGTTTCTATTATCTCTGGGTACTATTCACATACTATGTTTTTATTATATTTTTAATATATAAATATATATTCTGCAAAAAATACAATTATGCTTGTCCTTTTCTCTCAGACTCATTTCACTCAGCATGATATTTGCCATGTCCTTCCATGTATAAGCAAATTTCATGACTTCATTTTTCCTAACAAGGCTAGCTATTTCTAAACACTTACCAGCCCAGAACTTACATTATGGTCTACACATTCTTGTAGTATCAAAATTTTTTCATTATAAAGCTGAGTTGATAAATAAGGTCATGTTCCTTGGTCTCTATTTTCGGCCTTATTGTAATGATAAGCAAGACAATCATCTAAGATGGCCCTGCTCAAAAGATTTTTTTTACTTTGTATTTAATACAGTGACTGGTAATAGATGCTCCATATTACTGAATATGGAAATATGAAAGATGAGTGAAAGTTAAGTGATGTCATAAATCATCAAGCTAGGAAGGAACAAATAAGCATGTAAGCCCAGGTCGCCTTGATTCTACAGCTGGATATCACCAGGTATTCTTACATGTGTTCAACTGTGGGCATGCCCCACCACAGAGACTGGCCCACATCCAAAAGAACAAAAGCAACCGGTATTGGCACAAATGTGGCGAGAAAGGGACCCTCCTTCACTGCTGGTAGGAATGCCAACTGGTTCAGCCCTTTTGGAAAACAGTATGAATGATTCTCCAAAAATTAAATAGCACATTTTGTGGTTTGTTTTTTTGTCTTTATTTTCTTCTTTTTAATTTTTATTAGTGAAACACCATGAGGTACAGTTGTAGACTTACAAATTTTTGTGCTTGGGTTTCAATTATACAATGATCGAGTACCCATCCCTCCACCAGTGCCCATTTTCCACCACCACTGATCCCAGTATTCCTTTCATCCCCTGTGCCCCCCATCCCACCCTGCCTCTGTGGCAGGGCATTCCCTTTTGTTATCTCTCTCCTTTTGGTGCTGTGGCATTGAGTGGCAATCATGTTTGGTCTATAGTCTACTTTCAGCATGAATCTCCCATCCTGGGAGGATCCTCCCAACACCCTTTATTTTGTGCTCCCTTCTCTATCTGAGCTGCCTTTTCACCTAGCATATACAGCTGGCACATGAGAAAATGCTCTACATCATTAATCATCAGGGAGATGCAGATCAAAACAACAATGAGATATCATCTCACACCACAGAGACTGGCCCACATCCAAAATAACAAAAGCAACCGGTGTTGGCACAGATGTGACGAGAAAGGGACCCTCCTTCACTGCTGGTGGGAATGCCGACTGGTTCAGCCCTTTTGGAAAACAGTATGGACGATTCTCAAAAAATTAGAAACTGAGCTCCCATTTGACCCAGCAATACCACTCCTGGGAATATATCCTAGAGAGGCAAAAAAGTATAGTTGAAGTGACATCTGCACTTGTTTGTTCATTGCAGCACTCTTTACAATAGCCAGAATCTGGAAAAAACCTGAATGCCCGAGAACAGATGATTGGTTAAATAAACTTTGGTACATCTACACAATGGAGTACTATGTAGCTGTTAGAAAGGATGAAGTCATAAAATTTACATTCAAGTGGTACTACATGGAAAGTATCATGCTAAGCGAAATAAGTCAGAAAGAGAGGGATAGACATAGAAAGACTGCATTCATCTTGGGAACATAAAGTAACAAAATAGGAGTCTAACACCCAAGAATAGCTGAGATAAGTACCAGGAGTTTCACTTCATGGTTTGGAGGTCAAAAGATTATTGAGAATTCTCTCTTTTAACACATTGCAGACTTCTCTGATTTAATGGTTTTAATGTTTGCTTTATCTCTGATTAATAATTTACCTTATAGATAGTAGGTAGATAGTCTTTATTCAGAAATGGTCTCTTTAATTTAATTTTTTGGGGTGCAAAAATTGCGCTACTAATGGCCATCTTGTCTCAAATTGCAGATAACGGTATTTCGGATGGGATCAGAAGGACACCAGGACATTGATCTAGCTATCCTGACAGCTTTGCTCAAAGGTAAAAGTTTCGATGTCGAGGGAGTATAAAAACAAGTTAAATAGATCAATACACAACTTTTTTTAATCTCCCAATAGTGGATACAAACACAAATAATGCCATGATCTATTTCAATTACTGGTACTATATGGATTCTCTTGTAACACATTCTGATTACTATTAAACTCTCTTAGAATAGATCTATTATACTATGGCTCAATTTCATAAAGTTTAACTAAACTGCTATTTAGTCATATTCATTGAATCTTAAATAGATATATAAATTTGAAAGTTCATATAAGTAATATGCTGAATTATCTGAGATTTTTAAAATAACTATTATTCTGGCAGAGAGATCATATAGAAGATAAGTCACTTGCTTTGCATCTATTGAACCTGGGTTCTATTTCTCGAAGCACATATGGTCCCTCAAGCCCTGACAGGAGTAATACTGAAGCCAGGACTAAGGCATCAGGATATCCAGGTGTGACCCCAAAAAATCAAACTACAGTAGTTATTACCCTACTTTTTGAAACTATTTGTTTTCTCATAGAAAACAAATGAGAGGAAAAAAGAAATATGTCCCTTTTGGCTAGTGCATTGCCATGACTGAGCATTAAGTTTAACCCTAAACTTCCTAGAAGTCCAGGCAAAAGTAGAAATGCTCTTAAATGTATGGTTTTCCTTCATAAAGTGAGTCCGTCCTGTTCTCAATCCCAGTATTATAGAGAGTGCCTCTCATGTGCTCATCCTTGGATCCATGTCCAAGAGAAGCGTAGTTTCCGCCAGACTCAACAGATCAAATCTAACCTTTAATTCCCTTAAGAGATACATAAGATTTGGCTAAAATGTTTTGGTGAACAACCAGTCACATCAGTCCTAAAGTGAGAACTGGAACAATCAGACCAAACCTAACTCTAAAAGCTTATTTGTTTAGAGCTATCTCTCCATTCTCCCTGAGAATGAGGAATTCTCCCTGAGTTATCTCTCTGTTCTCCCTACTTTGCCTGCTGCATTATCACATGGCAGACCACCACCACCTTCCCCACTCCAAGTTTTATCCAGCGAAGAATGTGTTTTGACCATTACTGCTTTCTTAGCCCCTTACACAATCCCAATAAACATGAAAACATTCAGTCACCTTTTGTTTTAAAATGAATGAATTACCCAATGATTGATTCAGTGACAGATTTAGCAGCATTCCAGAAGGAAACCTCAGTCTAGCAACAATTACTCTAATTTCTGCTCTATTTACTCTTCTACCACTATTATTTTTCCCTTGTGTACATGTGATGCTCTAACTGCTGTGCTAAGTGTGACACTTTTTGAGATTACAGTAAATGTTCATTATTACAACTGTATCATATAGGAGTTGCTTCTAATTTCACTTTATAGATGGGATAAGTGAAGCTGAAAGAGGTTGTTGAAGTTGTTCAGGTTATCATGTCTGGACTTAGATCAATGTCTAATTCTTAACTATACATATGTCTGAGTAATCATATGCATGATTTCTGTGACTTTTTTTTATTTCTGTGACTCTTGAAGCTGTTGATTCTTTTCCCTTATTCCACTTTTCCAATATATATATACACATATTTATATAATATCCTGATCACATTTCAGTAATGTCACCATCCCATGAAGTATAGTGTCCAGACTGAGAATCTCTATTTTATAGCAGTTTATTCCAGTGAGCTAAAATATTACACACATGTAGAAGAGTTAAGGAACCATGCATGAACTAAACTACAACTCATTTGTAAGAAACAAAATGAAAAATTCAAGGGAAATAACTCTTAGATACTTGCTATATTTACAGTTATAAAAAGTAATTATAGGAGGGCTGGAGAAATAGCATAGTGGATAGGGTACTTGGTTTTGCATACGGCCAACCCAAGTTTGGTCCCCAGAACCATATGGTCCCCAACCCTGCTAGAAGTGATCCCTGAGTCTAGAGCCAGGAGTGATCTCTGAGCACTGCTGTGGCCCATAAGCCAAAGATTTTTAATTCAAATTTTAAAAAATCTAATAAAACCAGTAACAAAATATTGTTGGGCACTGCTAGATTCCAAACAGTGTTAGATGTGTTCTATGTACAAATTCAGTTCATCTTTACAACAGTTTGATGAGCTGTTTATTACAAAGTCAATTTTCTAGATAAGAAAATTGAGGCACAGAACAATTCCGTGATGAATTGGCCTGTAAATGCTATAGTCAGCTTAACCCTTTAATCCCACAACACACACACACACACATACACACACAGCATCTTGTGTCATTGGTAATAAAAAGTGGAACACCACCTTTACCACCTTGAACCTGAATTCATAGCAAATAGAGAAGGGGTCCTTCTATCTATAAAAGTATATCAGTCATCATCACTTCTTTTATTGAAAATTTTCACTTTTCACCACTTAGTGGGACTTAAATATATGATTTACCTATGGATTATTGAGGAGAGTTCTTTTTATGCGAGGGAGGGGAAGAACAACACCCAGCCGTGATCCTGACAGTTCAGATCATTGAACTGGCTTGACTTCATGCCAGGCAGTCAACCTTCATCCTAGCATCCTCTCTTTGGCCCACATTTAGACTTAAAATCTGTCCTATTACAGAATACATCTCCATCTATTTTAAAGCACACCACATGAAAAACATGTTGTATTAAGATGAAGAAATTATATATACATGGCTTTAATCAAGTAAATTAATATGTATTCTAATTATATAGATAATGAAAGCATAATTTTTATTCTAATTTATTCTATACTTTACTACTGATAGATTCCACTAATTGATTTTATGACCCATTAAACCTACAGTTTAGAAGACGTTACCATAGAATATTAAAGAAAATCATGATTATTCGAAGAAATTAACATTTCTAATCATTGTAATGAACATTATTTATGAAGCAGTTGATGCTAATGAGAATTTATACCATTAAAATATTTTGGCATGTCAACCCTATTTTGCAAAAGCTTTTAAATGCTCTGTTATTTTGACCCGGTTGATTAGGGAAGGAGATCCAACATACTTTTGCTTACTTCCTTAGAAGTCAAAAGTAAAGTTCTACCAGTTTTAGAATATTTAATTGATTAAATTATTTTTTCATAATTAAAAAAAAAAGTATTCCTGGGCAGCATGTTGCTTGGTTTACCATTTAATTTTACAACTCTGCTCAGTTTTCAATTATCTGATAATGAGAAATCATTGTATACTTGTTTCTATTCTGTCATCAGAAAATCTCTCTCTCTCTCTTTCTCTCTCTCTCTCTCTCTCTCTCGCGCTCGCTCGCTCTCTCTCCCAGCTACCTTATAGTTCTCTTGTGTGTTCCCCCCCTTCAGGATCTGGATTTAGGGAACAATAACTAATTAATTTTGTCACTGTTTCCAAGTCCTACCTAACATGTGAAATTTTCAGAAGAAGGGTCAAGAGTGATAGTACAGTGAGTAGAGTGCTTGCCTTGCATACGGCTGACCCAGTCCTGATCCCTGGCATCTCCTAAGGTCCCCTGAGTTAGAAATGGGTCCCTGAGCCCAGAGCTAGGAGTGGCCTCAAAGGAGAGAGAGAGAGAGAGAGAGAGAGAGAGAGAGAGAGAGAGAGAGAGAGAGACCTGCATTGCACCCTAAAGGAGATTGAGAGTAAAAAGAGAATCTGCCTGCCACAGAGGTGGGGGCGGGATGGGGTGGGAATGGGAGGGGATATGGAAGGGATACTGGGAACACTGGTGGTGGAGAATGAGCACTGGTGGAGGGATGGGTACTTGATCATTTATGACTGAAACGTGAGCACGAAAGTTTGTAAGTCTGTCACTGTATCTCACGATGATTCATTCACAATCATGATCATGATCATCCTGTTGTCTGTCGATTGTCTTGAGCAGGCCCCAGTAACGTCTCCTTCGTCCTAGCCCTGAGATTTTTTGAAAAGTGCCATATTCAAGGCTCTTTCAGGGTTAGGAGAATGAGACCCATCATTGTTACTGGTATTTGGCATATTGGGTATGCCACGGGGAGTTTGATTCATTAAAAAATTTTTTCTAAAAATTTAAATTTAACACAACAAAAAACAAAAAAAGGGGGGGTGCAGCTTCTATATTACTGAATTAAGGAGTTACTTTCCAAAACTGAAGACAGAAAGGAAATATGTTGTTCCAGAGGCTGAAGAGGCTTCTTTGGACGCCAACTTGAGGTAGCTTCTGCGCATAAGTGGTGCCACACTTTGGCATTGAGTTAAACACTATCCGAGAGTGGGAATGTGAGAGTCAAGCTTGCTGACTCCTCTCCATTTTAGTATTCCTCTCCCCCTCCCCGCAACACACAACCCAGGGACCCAAGGAGCTATTGCTGAGTGGAACTGTTAAAGAAAATATAGGACTTGTCATGTTCAAGAAAAAAAAAAACATAAGCTGAGCATAAGTATGTCCCAAACATTGCATGGGGCATACTTATTTTTCAAAAATAAAGCCAAGTCGAAACAAAGAGAAAAAGAACTTCCTTATTACTTATCTGAAATTTTAACTTTCTACTTGCACTGTCTTTTATTTCCTTTCATGCTGCCCTACTCAGAGAAAGCCTGAAGCCATGAAAATGTCTATGCTTTGCTTTGGGACTGGAGAGATGTACAGTGGCCAGGGCAGTTGCCTTGCATGTTACCGATCTGGAATCAAACCCCAGCATCCCATGTGTCCCCTGAGCACCATCAAGAATAAGTCCTAAATACAGAGCCAGGAGTAACCCCTGAGCATCATTGAGAGGTGTGACCCCAAAAGAAAACAAAACAAAACAAAAACGTATACTTCATGTACCTTGAGAGGTTTTTTTCTAGAATTAATGAGCTATAGCTACCTCCTTCCTTCTCCTGGTCAGCCATATCTAAAACATAGTAAAAAGAGGTTCAAAAAGGAAAGGACCACAAATCTACCTTCATAAACTGTCCAGGGGCTGGAGCAATAGCACGGCGGGTAGAGCGTTTGCCTTGCATGCAGCTGACCCGGGTTCGATTTCCAGCATCCCATA